CAAGTTCTCTACAGACAAGCAGTGATCCATAGACAGCTGAGAACTACTGGTGAAAACCTGCAAACATCTGTACTTTTGGGGTCTATTCCAGACATAGAGCCAGGGTTAGAACCCGGTCTTAGGTCAACTCAGGCAAGTAGTTTGGACTCTCTTTGCCTCTTTTCCTACCTGTAAATACACATCTCAAAAGGAGATGGTGAGAACTAACTGATGTTTGCAAATCCTTCTGACATGTTTTGATGATACATTCTTCATAAGTGGAAAAACCGTCAGAATGAAGACTTTGCCAGAAAATTGAGAGGAAAATATGTCTAACTGTCCCATCCTTGTTTGTTGGGCCAACAGAAAGGTGATATCATTGATATAATCAGCAAACCTCCCATGGGCACTTGGATGGGCCTGTTGAACAACAAAGTTGGCACTTTCAAATTTATATATGTGGATGTATTAAATGAGGAGGAAGAGAAGCCAAAACGTCCCACAAGAAGACGACGAAAAGGGAGACCACCTCAGCCCAAATCTGTTGAGGATCTCCTTGATCGGATCAACTTAAAGGTTAGTTCCCATTCTCTCTATCTTTCATCTTGTGGGTAGTGAATACACAATCTTGGGTCAAAAAAGTCTTCAAACACTTCACAGGGCAATCCAAATCTTGAGTGCAGATGTAGAGGGGAAGGTGGGGCAATTGCTCCAGGCCACCATTTGCTCAGGAGCCACTAACATAAGAATATATGAACACTGAAATGTTTCGTTCCTCACAACATCCTATATGTGGTCCCATCAGCGCAGGGTCTGTCTCAATATTATGCCCTAGATCTATGGAAATCAGTCAATCCAAACCAATTAATCTCCAAACCAAATCTTGAACCAAAGGAATTTTCCCCATTAATTTAATAGGAGGAGAAGCAGGCCTCAGTTTTCACTACTGTTATTCTTTTGCATAATAATAATAACAGACCAGCCTAATAGACTACTGTGGGGTGCAGTTATGTACACTCGAGGATCATAATTAATGCCACAGTCTGGCAATGAGATAATGCACTAATAAACCCCATAGTAGATATATTAGGTTACTGTTTCTTTAATAAGACAGCTCCTAGTCCATGTTCCAGGATGTTCAAACTCAAATAAGCTGGACATGAACTGCTTTGCTGGTAGTTTATCCTTCCTGCTTGGTTATTAAAGAGATGTGACATGTTGTGCATCTATGTAACATTGTGCATCTACGTAGCAAGCTGTTTTAGGAAAGTGGATTCCAAATCCAAGAACATACTGAAAGTTTAGAAAGGTGATTGTGTTATTGGTTGTTATGATATTTATATGCTCTTTAACAGGGGTGTCAAGCACAGCCCACAGTCCAGATTTGGCCTGCGGAGCTGCTCTACCCAGCTCATCAGGCCACCAAAAGTCAGGGAGGCATGGCCAGGGGGGGATGTCCTACCACATAATCCAGGGCCCTTGAGTGCTGATGGACACAGTGGTTAGTGGCAGGAGGTCACTGATACAGCCCCATTTCCTTTCTGGCCACTTCATCTATCTGCACTGACATGGCCATGCTGCTTCTTCCACTGACCCTGCCTCCAACCCATTCTGGAGGAGCTTCCACTGCCACTGGCATGTGCTCTGGGTTAGAGCCAGAGCTGTGTACCCCATGCCAGAGCTGGAGCTGCTGCCATGGCACAAGGCCGATGATGGCAGCAGGAGCTCTGGCTCCAGCATGGGGGCATGTGGCCAAAGCCAGAGCCTCCACCACTATATGCCCGGTGCCAGAGCTACCACTGTCACTGCCTGCCCCAGGCTGGATCCAGCCCAGAACATGAGATTAGTTTGACACTTCTGCTCTATAATATGAATAAGGTTGGCTTGCCTGTGTTTAGCTACTAATCTATTTACCAGTAAGTATTTAACCAGAATGTTAGCAATTTCCTTTAGCTATTTTTAAAATAATTCAAAGCTCGTTGTTTTATTCCTTCATATTTGTAATGGACCCTAATATGGATGTTGGCAGCTTCAAAATGTTATCCTTTTATTGGATTGTTTTGTTTAAATTGGTTCTTTAAAAAAATGAAAGAGGGAGGTAGTTAGCCATTTTAGTCTGAAGTCAGGCAGAAGGCAGGATAGATAACTGAATCAAAGATGCACAAGCTTTTGTGAGAAAGAGCTCACTTGTCTTACTTCTCACAAGCATCTTATGAAGCAGCTTGCAAAAGCTTGTGCGTCTCTGATTCGGTTAGTCTGTAAGCATCCCTCTCTTCTGTTCTTTTAAAAGTCTCAGTTTAAAGCAGCACAAAAGTACTTCTGTCCATCTGTTTCAAGGCACGTGCAACCATTTTATTTCAGTGAATGAATTAAGCTACCAGACTGCTAACAGAAAGTTATTACAGGACTGTGACAGTGCCTTGCCATTGTGAAGAATGCATCAAATGTCTAGTGGCATCATACAACAAATACCATATTTTCTCACATACCACACACTCTTTTTCTGAAAATTATCTCCTGGAAAAGGGGATGTGCGCCTTGAGTTAAGAAACGCACAGAGCTCACCTTAGGGAAAATGATGCCCTGGGCAAACTTGTATTTTGGTGCCCGCAACCCTCCCCCTGGCATCCCACCCCTCTCTTGGCTCCCTTCCCCCTTGCCCTCCGCCAGCTGCCTCAGTGGGCTTGAGGCTGGCCCTTTCCCAGTGCACAGCCAGACCCGGAGCTTAGAGGCTGTGATCCCCATGCTCTGCGGAAAGGCGCAGGTGGGAGCGAGATCTTCAGCTGGGCCAGGCCCATGCACCAGGGTGTGCTGGGCTGCACAGAGTGGGCTGTGTACCATCAAAGCCCCACGAGTTGTCCGGCTCCTCCCTGCTTAGAGTAGTGCAGCTGGGGGCAAGCAACGTTAATTCCCTGCCAGCTTCAATTCTAGGGCCATCTTGGGACACAGTGGGAGCCTGACACAAGCCAGCCCCACCTGGGGAGTTTACTGCATGCAGGGTATGGGGGCTAGCTCCTTGTCTGGCTTGAGCACCTTCAACCCTGCCCCTGCCAGATGGCTCTCAAGGACACAGGCTGCTTTATGTGGGCTCCCAGAGATCAAGAGCAAGACCTGTGCTGCCTTTGTGGGCTGCAGCCTTCGGTGCAGCTGGGAGGAGTCCGATGGCAGAAGCAGGCTGCCAAGAGGGCCAGGGCGGTGGCTGGGGGAGCTTCATGCTCAGAGTGGGCAGGGAGTAGGGCCGAGGGGCTGCGCTTACATTAGCACATGCCCACAGCAAGCCTCAAGGCTCAGGCAGGCTTAGGGTGAGCCCAGTGAGCAGCTGAGTACCAGACAGGCTTGTCCGGTCTTCAGAGTGCTCCTGATCTGTGTGAGACACCCTCCTGGTGTCCTGCACTGCTTCCTTGCCCCCTTTTTGGGCAGAGTCGCAGGACACCAGAGCATGGCCCAAGGGGTGGACCAAATGCCTGGGCCAAAGTGCGAGTGGAGCTGCAGATCCCTGGGGGCAAAAGCTTTTCCAGTTGCTCCTCTGCCGGTACTGTGGGAAGCTGCACTCTTAGGGCCTGGAGCAGGGTGGGGGGTGTGGATCTACCCCCGGCTGGACCTCCAGTGGCTGGAGGCAGGGGGGTGCCAATTGGCCGGGGTGGTGCGGGGATAGAGCACTCCTGTGCATTTCTGTGTGACACCCCAGTGACCACGGTGCCGTGGGCAGTTGTCCACTTCATTCACCCCTAAGGCTGGCTCTGGAGATGCAACAAGCAGCTAGGGAACTCCATGTGTTCACTGCGCTGCCCTCCTGTCCAGCACATGTATTGTTTCTTTTCCTTTCTCTCTCCATTTCACTTTAGTATAGGGACACCCTCAAGCTGTTGCCAGGGCAGGCCCTGCTGCTGCTGCTGCTGCTGCTGCTGGGGGTTGAATTTTCCAGGACCAGCAGCTAGGCAATTAAAAGAACAGCCAAGGGTTGTTGCTTCCTCCTGCTACAGCTACTAGTGTTTTCAGTGCTAGCTATGAAATTTGGTGGTGGCTGCATTAGGAGCATGCAAGAAGCTTCTGCTCCATTAACCCTGCAAGTATGTGCAATTTTGAGTGGGACAAAGCAGTTACATTTGTTTAGTCCTTGAAAATTTCCCTTTTTTCTTCATTTTGCCTTCCAAAAACAAGGTGTGAGCATTACTTGAGGGTGTATGGTATATGAGAAAATACAGTGTGTTTGAATTTTCTCTCAACTCAATAAGTCAGAGATGAAAATGTGGGCTCTCAAAATCTAAAGCTTCAAGAGAATAAACAGGTTGTTCATGTAGAAGAAGGTGTGCTTTAATAAAAGCTTAATATGGACTTATCCTTCAATAAGAAAGTACTATATGGATTATACTGTTTCCATCTAAATCGCAACTAAATTTTGCTTATCAATAACCTGTTGATACCCTTATTTTCTATCTTTTATTAGTAAAACGCAAAAGAGGCTGGAATCTGTTAGAACAAAAGCAGGAGCAGGATTTGCAAAAATAGCAAAATAAGAATCCTAGTAGGAAACAAAAAACCCTTAGAAGGGAGTGCTAAAGAAGAAACTGCCTAGAGAAGCATGGATTGGCTGAACTTTATTTTTTCTACTTTTGGTGGAGCTTTTGCCTTGCCCTGCAGCTCATCTGTTTCCCTCCCACAGGAGCACATGCCCACTTTTCTGTTCAATGGTTATGAAGACCTGGACACCTTCAAGCTGCTAGAGGAGGAAGACTTGGATGAGCTGAATATCCGAGACCCTGAACACAGAGCCGTCCTCCTCACAGCCGTGGAACTCTTACAGGAATATGACAGTAAGATTTGGGGGTTTGGGGGGTTTTGCCTGTTCTCAGCTGGCCAGACTGCTTCTGGGAGAGAAGTCTAGTGTAGAAACTCATTTGCAGCTATCTTTTCCAGGCATTTCTGTGTTGTTCTAGATCTAGGCTTTCAGGGAGTTAACATTTGGATTCAAGTTTGGATTAACAGGTGGATTAACATTGGCCTTTTATTGTATCAGAATTTTCACACACGCTCTACTGTCTTGTGAACTGTATGTATAACATTCAAGGAGTCACCAGCCCACGAGTGACATGAACTTTTCATTCTTTTAAAAGAAGAGAGAGATAGTTAGCCTTGTTGGTCTGAAGGCAAGAAGAAGGCAGGTTAGAATTGCACTTTATAGACCAGAAGCATCAAGCACACGGCCTGTGGGCCACATCTGGCCCACAGAACCCAGCCATCCGGCCCCTGGTGCTGCCTCTGGGTCTGAGCAGACCTATATGGGGCACAGTTCAGGCCAGACCAGCTCTATGGGTGGAGGCCAGGATACGAACTGCACTACAAGCGCCTCATGCAGTGCAGATCTTTGAAAAGCGGAAGCAGGTACCACGTGTGGTGCAGTCTGGCTGGAGCAGGCATCTTGTGCAGTGTGGTGCTTGCTCCAGCCTGTCTGGGATCAGAGCTACATGCACACCCCCCCTTCAGACTGCACCACACATAGCGCAGCACCCATTCTGGGATCTGCATCACATACAGCAAGGGTCCCAGACCAGCTGGAACAGGAGCTAGATCTGGTATGTAAGGGGAGGGCAAATGAAGGAGGGAAGGGGGTCTGTGGGTGCAATCCAGCCCTAGGACTACCCCTGCACCACTTATATACCCTCCAGGTGCAAACTCACCATGAGCCAGATGAGTTGACACCACTGTTATAGACTAACTGAATCAGAGACTCATAAGCTTTCTTGAAGAGCATTTTGATGCCCAGCTTGGTCATCTGACTCCAGCAGTCTTTCCTACCCAAGTGCAGGGGGACTGGACCCGATGATCTTGTAAGGTCCCTTCCTGCCCCTAACGTCTATGAATCTATAAGCATCTGAGGAATTGCTTTTGCTCACAAAAGCTTATGCATCTCTGATTCAGTTAGTCTATTAGTGACATATCTGCCCTGTCTTCCATTTTTTTAAAAGTCTCAGTTTGAAGCAGCACAAAAGTCCGTATGTCCATGTGTTTCAAGGCACCTGCAACCATTTTGTTTCAATGAATCAAGCTACCAGACTGCAAAGTTCAAGTCATTAAAGACTTCCTGTCTCCCCATGGGTCTGGATATCTGGCACTGTGGGGCCAGTCCGTGGGGCTAGATAGCTTGAGCACTGCAATTAAGGGGTTAACAGAGCAGCAAGATTCATAGTAATAAAAATAACGTGGATTAATTTATCCTGAAAACAAGTGTTGCTAACCCAGAGAGTGGGTCTAATTATGTTTTCTGTATGGTCTATATTTTCACAAGCAGAAAAATATTTCTTCACCTTCCTTTGACCTCTTTTCCCTTGTATGTACATTTTCTGGGGAGCCATATCTTTCTCCCAGGAAAACATAAAGAATCTTTCAGCCTTTCCTCTGTTTTGGAATACTTTTTGTTACCTAATGTGCTCTTTTCCTTCATTGTTTGCAAGATTCATGATGCTTGCTTTGAGCAGTAATAATTTTTCTAGTGACCTTCAATTATAGTTTGAATTTGGAAATGGGATTGCAGAGAATAGTATCCATTTCTGTGAAAGGGTGATAGGAGTGGGGAGAGCACAACTAGAGCTAGAGTGGGGAAGCTGGTCTACACTCTGTTCCATAATTACTTTTTCATGCTCTAAGAATAGGAATTAAAGTAGCAATTTCTAGCCTTTGTTGAAGGAAAGTCATTGCAATGTAAGCTAAAACCCTGCCCCATGCAATCGGGTATTCTATTTTTTACAGTCCTGAATTTAGTTCCTCTACAGAACACCACATTTGACCCAGCCCTAAGCACTAAATACAGCAAAGCCTGATTCAGTATATTTTGTGCACTGCGGATTTTTTACAGAGCAAGGGAGTAAAAATTTTTACTACCAATACCCCAGTGCTCTCCCCTGCCATTGGGGAAAATAACTAGTATTTTGGCTGGATCCACTCGTGCTGCAGCTCCCCTCTCAAGCCTTTGTCACTCTACTCTTAAGAAGTCTCTATTGCACTTTCACTATTCAGGTTACGGTTTGCATGCACTAAGATGAAGCTATTGTATAGTATCTTGTTCCCACTGTGATTATATTCCATATAACTTTATCTCCTGGCAAGCCTAGCATGATGTAGTAAGTGCAGCAGTGTAAGGATAGCTGTTTTGGGAGCAGATTAACATCAAAGAACTGCCCCATATGCCCTGCTTAATGTGGCACTTTCATTTTATTCTCTCACCTCCTTCAGGTAACAGCGACCAATCAGGATCTCAGGAAAAACTTCTCATAGAAGGCCAGGGCCTAAGTGGATGCTCCCCCCGGGATTCGGGTTGCTACGAAAGCAGTGAGAACCTTGAGAATGGTAATGACAACAAAGACAACCACTGACACTCGCAACTGCCTTGTGCACACAATCCTGCATCCTTTTTACCTCTGTGCTTTGTCAAAAGATGGACCCACTTCATGCTTGTCTTTCTTACTCCTGCTTTGCATGGTCACTCTGCTTCCATCTCCCCTTTCTCACCCCACCCACTTCAGCAGACCCGTTGCTTTTTGTTATGATTGGTAGATTGTATTCAATATCATCTACCAGTTTATAAAAGCAGCAATCTCCAGATCATTTTCTTTCTACTGGAATCTTAAGACCGCAGGCCCTTTCAACCCCATCTTCCTCAGGCTCCCTCTCCTGTTGTAGTCTTGTGCAGCCACTGCCTCCTCAGACTGGTACCAGTCATATTGAGACACAGCTATTGAAAGGGGAATGTTGGCAGCGGGTAGTTCCCTGTGCTTCCCATTAAGGCTTAGTTGAATTTATTCATGGACTTAACAAAAAAAATCTTGTTCTCCATTTCGGGCAGTGGTTTTGTGTGTTTGCTCAAGATGCATTTTGAATCCTCTTGCTATCAAAGAAGCCTGTTATCACAATGTTTGAGCATTAGCATGAACTCCAGCAAGCGAAAGCAGGAAGCCAAAACTACCTACTATATGTGTATTGGTTTGGGTCAGTGAGAGACATTGTATGATTGGAAAGGCAGGAGGTAGTAAAGGCTGCTTTTCTGCGTTTTGAAGGAGTCACACTATTGTATAATGAGGATTGCTTATTTCAGTAAAGGTGTAAAGTTGCCAGCAGAGCTGTAATATTGTAATTTGTAAAATTGCTTTTGTTTTCATTATTTTGGTGGCATCGTTATTTCATTATTTTGGTGCCACATTATTTTGGTGGCATCATCTGAGTTTTTGTTCTGTGGCTCTCTATGTGGCTTCAACCCCCACAGCCAACGTGGATGGAAAACCAAAAGTATTGTTCCCTCTTTGAGGTAGCTGTGGGCATCTGAACTTTCTTCCAGCCATGAGTAAAGATAAAATACCTTCCCCAGAGTCTGTGCATTCATTTTGAATCTACCACTTGAAGATATACCTGTAGGGAGCTATTTGTTCTGAACTAAGTGCATTAAGTTCATGGTGCACTCTCCTCCATAGTCCTTGGAGACAAAGGGATCAAAGTTGTCTCCTGAACTGTAGCCCCTTTCAGTACATGTTTGTTATTGCATGAACAAACCAGTCTGACGTTTTGAGTTAGTTAATTTACAGGGAGTATTTGATGACTGTGCTCCAACTGTTCCAGAGATATGCATATTGTGCTGAAGAAAGAGACAAGTTAATGTTGTTCTATATATGTTTCTAGCTAAGGGGCATAATGAAAGTTAGATACACAGCAAAGGTGATAATCTTCTTTCCCTTTTATCTTCAATTAGAGTTAAATTGCTGCTTGTATAGGGTTTTGTGGGTTTTTCTAACAGTATAATAAAATCTTTGTAAAGCAATTGTCATTGCCTGACTGCTTTTGGAATGCTTACTTTTATGTTTAAACTAATATTTCCATTCAGGTTTTCCACTAATTCTTTATATTGCGGTTCA